GGAAATGTACTTACGACTTGGTTTCAATGAAGTCGCCCCCTGGAGTCACATGACTGCATTTTGGGGGCTTGGCAACCAGCCCGCATTTATAGGCTTTTGCAACATCCCATGGATGTGTAATTTGCAGTGTGCTTGCTGAAAACCAGCATTTACTTCTGGGTTTTGGGAAAAATGCCCTATCGCAAACAATAGTAAAAATGCCTTATTGAAAACAATAGCATAAGTTAACAACCATAATTTTCCTTAATGATCACTGTGTTCACTTAATGAACATTGAAAAAAGGTAATAAAATCAGGCATGGTCATAGGAGTGATCCACTTTACAACTCTCACATCTTATGAATGTAATGGGCAGGCTCTATTACAGTCATAAGTCAAGGAAGTAGGAAAGCAAACTTTATCTCTTGTAATCTCAGTGATTTATACTAAAAGTAGAATCGCTACGCGAGGTATTTGTCAGAACATTCCAGGGTTAAAACTTTTAATTGGAAATCTATCCTATCCTGAACTTTAAGAGAATTCCTACCATTATTCTCAGTTCTTTGACTAACACAATCAAGAATATAATTTAATAATTGAATACTTCATGAAAATTCCTTCATACTTGCTTTCTCAAAACATTTCTATTTGTTGCTTAATTCAAGTCTTTAACTTTAACTTTAACTTTAAGTTGGACATCTCTAGCTTAAAGATTCAAATGGGTGTATTTCCACAGTAGAGTGGATTGCTGATCAGGATATCAAAACTGGTCTGTTGGCCAACAGTGGGGATGATTCTCAGGTTTTATCAACACTTCCAGCAAAGAATTAAGATACAAGTTAAAAATGCAAGGAAGCCAAAACCTATCCTTGCTTCACTCGTTTTTAATGAGGATTAATTTCCAAAATGTCACAGTAGATTTGCAGTATATTCTTTCCATGCAGTTTCATAATCACTATCAAAAGCTGTCACTGATAGAGAAGGCATCCAATTTCTCTCATAACCTATCTGTAGAGATCAAATCAAATGTTGTTTTTAAGTCAATGAAGGCAAGGAAGATGATATCTTGAAGAGGATTAATGCATTTTTCTGTTAAATCTTGAGGAATAAGACACTGATCTAGTGTCAACTATTCCTCCTAAGATATTGCTCTCAGCTTGTTCTTCCACTGAGATATTGTCCTGCCTTGTCCAATATCAACTACTTTTGCCTCCCATGCTCAGCAAGCTGATAGAGTGAATACTCATCAGATTCCTCCTATCTCGTTTTTATCTGCTCTGATGGATCTACATCAGCTCTCAAGGAAAGAACAGCCACATTTATCTTGAACAGATTTGCTGCAATCAGATCACCCTCAATTGCTTTGCCTTGGGGTTTTCAATTGTAAAATAAGTTTAACCGTCTCAGAAGAAGGAACAGGGAATCGGTCTCTTGACTTCAGAGTGACATTATGTGACAACTGAGACAGTTGGAGCATCACTGAACAAGGTATGAAAATATTCAACCCAGGCCTGCCCACTTTTGATGTCTAATCCTTTCTCAGCCTTAAGCTAAGACTACCAAGACCATAGTGTGGTATGGGACAGCAGGCTGCTTGAGAAAATTACAGGAACCCATACTTCATTTCTCCTCCCATTTGAGCCTTTTCTCCAGTGTCACCATGGCAAGAGTTGCCAATAAAAGAAGAACCTTAAACCAGTTGACTGCTCCTTAGTGAGCACAGCATGCATAAAATTGCTGTCCAAGCATCCTGCAGGTATCTTAACCAAGGTCAAAATGAAGTGAAAAGGTATCACCATTATCACCCCACTTCCTTTTAACTGAGATAGGGCAAGATGATATGATGACTTCTCAAGCTTCACATTAATTGGATCAGGTCTCTCAACTGCCATTAAGATACTTTGTGCAATTCTGAACTTGGATAAAGCTTCCCAGCATGGGTTGGTTAAAAGTGAACATCATCATCACTATCCCAACAGATTATAGCCATGGACAGTTAAGACTGATGCCGTGCCTTACAATAACTTTCCCCCACATTTTCTGTGGTAGAATGGTAAACTTGCCTTAAATTTCCCACAATCAATTCTAAGTGGGACCTGCTCATTTACATTCTCTAGATCTCAATCCTGTGGTCCTAATGTAATTGACAGTAATATCAATTTGGTAAAATGAAGATTGAGGAATGAATGAGCCTATCTTTTTCCTGATATCCCACAATCAAAACACATTCTTGTAACCACAGAACAAAAAGGACATACCTCACCTTCTCATCACATTTTATGAGATATCTTGGAATACCTATGGACCGGTGGTGGGAGGGAGGGGATGGTTTCATGCTCGCTCCCACTACTTGTACAAATGGAGCTTCACACGTTTATCCACTGCTTGTGCAAACTGGTTCCCAATGGTCCATGGACCAGTACCAGGCCACGGACCAGGAGTTGGGACCTGATATACAGTATGTGATGACCGGGACAAAGCACGAAGGTCACACAGCCAGCTGAGAGTTCAAACTCCCCTTTAATGTTCCAAATGTCCCCAGATTCTTGGCATGTCCCAGAGTAAAGTGCGTGCAGACACAGACTAATGGCAGCCTCTGGCTGTGCCCAGTCCAACAAAACAAATGAACAGGAAAATGAATCCATGAAACAAGGAACAAACAATGAGTCCACAAACTAAGAAACAAACAATGAGCCCACAAGTAAGGAAAAAACAAGCCGTCCTGCAAACTCCAAATGTCTGTACTGGCACACCAAACTTTACCAATTCAGTGTTTGTTCCTGACAAATGCCCCTCCCCACAGCATCTCCTTAAATCTCAGTCCCCAGGTGTGCCTTGTGAAGAGGGACGGAGCACTTTTTCCCCAAGTCATCAGGTTAGCCTCCGCTGTTCCCAATTTCTCTCCACTCTCCATGCTCATGGATCAGTAGGGGGCAATCCTTGGTCATCGCCTGAGCTCTGTCATTCCTCATGTCCAGTGTTGCCCTCTCTCAGTCATCCTGCCCCCAATCCTCCCTGCTAATAAGCTGTTTGATCTCTGACTGGATTTACCTTTGCCTTATTGACTTAATAAATAGTTTGATCTGTTGGCAATGTGTGCCATAGATATATTATATTAGAACTAAGTGCTTTGAATTGCTAAGGCTCATGGAAATAGTGAGTTGTGTTCTTTAAGAATAGATGTCCCATATATAACAGAAAAGGGAAAAAAAGGTTGCCATATAACTAGAGCTAATCTTTCAATTGTTTTACAAGCGAAAATATTGTCCTTTCCATCTTTTAGCAGAGTACTTCTTGTCAATTGAAGTTTTCCTCAGAAAAGTTGGTATATCATCCCAATGTTTTTTTCCTAAATAGTGCCATCTAATCTTGATTTGTCAGCGAAGCATTTCTTTGGTCACATATCTGCTACTTTTCTGAAATATGTTTCTTTGCCAAACCTCTGTGATTTGGGTAAAACAGTGAACCTCCACTAGACTATTGGATAGATGTTTAGGCAGAGAAGGATGCATTTTAGGAAAACGAACACTGATCTGCCACTGGATATTCGGTTTTCTATTCTCTATCAATGTGAATTGTAAGGGACTACAGTAAAAAAAGGATTTATCCTCTACAATAACTGAGATTTTTGAGTGGCCATCTGTGTATTTACATTTTGATGTTTTGCTGGGTCATTCTCCAATAAGGAGAACAGGTGTGCATTTGCTAAGTTCCACTAATTCTTTTCAGTTTTTAGAAGGTTGCTATTGAAGTACAAGTAGTTTTTGATTTACGACCACAATTGAGCTCAAAATTTATATGGCTAAATGAGACATTTGTTAAGTGTGTTTTGCCCCATTTAATGACCTTTCATGCCATAGTTGTTAAGTGAATGACAGCTGTTATGAAGTGGGTGACATGGCTGTTAAATAAATCTGGCTTCCCCATTGACTTTGCTTGTCAGAAAGTCGCAAAAGTTGATCACATGATCCCAGGATGCTGCAACCATCATAAATATGTTGTCAAGCATCCAAATTTTGATTACATGGCTATGGGGATGCTGCAATGGTTCTAAGTGTAAACTGGTTGTAAGTGACTTTACTCAGTGCCGTTGTAACTTTGAACAGTTACTAAACTAGTGATTGTAAGTTGAGGACTACCTGTAGTGTGAAGATACACATTTTCATCAGTGTGAATATACAGATCACCACCAGTGGTGGTATTCTACTGGTTTGGCCTGGTTTTGGTATACCGGTAGCGCCAAAGATCAGCTGGTAGAGAACCGGTTATCTTCGAGTCTCTCCGACACTCTGCAGTTGGGCCCGCCCACCCGCCACTGCTCCTAGGTCCTTTTTAATCTCTCAGCTGTTTGGCACACCAGAGCGGATTGCTGTGCTAAATGGCTGAGAGGTGCAATAGCTTAGTTTTTTTACTGTTTTAACACATGCGCAAAGCGCGCATTTGGTGCACACATCAGAGGTGGCATTCAGCAGGTTCTGACCAGTTCTGGAGAACTGGTAGCAGAAATTTTGAATAGTTCAGAGAACCGGCAAATACCGCTGCTGACTGGCCCCACCCCCATCTATTCTCTGCCTCCCATTGAGTCCCAGCTGATCGGCTGGGTCTTCTTTTGTTGCCCTGCACAGGAGAACGGAGCTGGAAAGCGGGTAAGTGGGGTGGGGAGGGAATGGAGATTTTGCAGTAACCTTCCCCTGCCACTCCCACCAAGCCACGCCCACAAAACCGGTAGTAAAATAATTTGAATCCCACCACGGCAGCCACGCCCACCAAGCCATGCCCACAGAAACAGTGGTGGGAACTTTTGAATCCCACCACTGATCACCACTGATATCTCAGTTACAGGCAAGTAACCATTCTTATATCTATCAATTTTTTCTATGTATCCTTCAGAATCCTTCAGATGATGATGTTATCTGGTAACAAAATGTTCAGAAACTAAATTGAAACAAGCTTGGAGAACAAAGCCACTGCCAAAATCTAAAACCCAAGCTACAAGTATTTTCTATTATTTCATCCTTCAGAATTTTCTAAATCCTCTGACTGGAAGCTGGCAAATGCAGAGCAACACCTTGTATGGAGATCAAACTTGCAATCACTTCAGAAGGTGAGTAATTGTGTGCCTTTGCTCACTCTCTATCTCCCCTCAGTGTTCATTGGATCACTTCTTCAAAGCTGAGGCAGGTAGAATTACTCACTGATTAGAAATTGTTGAAAATATGCATAGTTTGGGTTGTAGGTTTTGGCAGGGGTCTGTTCTCCGAGCTTGCTGTTTGGTTTCCAGATGTTTTGTTACCAAACTAGGTAACATTTTCACTGGGGTTTGGGGTGAAGTATCATTTAGTTTCTTCTCTGCTTATCTGGGTCCTGCGTGGTGTTGTGGTCAGTTGGTCAAGTGAACAGCTGTTTGTGGAGCACTCACTGGTTCCTCTTTGGGAAGAACTGAAAGGAAGTGAACAAGATTTGTTGTAAGAAAGCAACCTTCTCTCTTAATAGGTTACATGAGGTACCATGGCTTTCAACACAATTGTAAGCAATCTACAGCCCTCTAGATATTGCTATACTCCAAGATCACCCAATATGTGGTAATGATGAAAGTTGAAAAGCCTCTAAAGTTTTCACACTTCTGCTCTAACTACTTAATTATCTTATTGACGGTTCTCAAGAATAGAATAGAATAGAATAGAATAGAATTCTTTATTGGCCAAATGTGATTGGACACACAAGGAATTTGTCTTGGTGCAAATGCTCTCAGTATACATAAAAGAAAAGATACATTCATCAAGAGTCAAGAATCAATAAGCAATCAAACCATACTAGGAAACAGTCAATATAAATCATAAGGATACAAGCGACAAAATTATAGTCATATAGTCACAAGTGGGAGGAGATGGGTGATAAAGAACGATGAGAAGATTAATAGTAATAGTAGTGCAGACTTTGTAAATAGTTGGACAGTGTTGAGGGAATTATTTGTTTAGCAGAGTGATGGCATTTGGGGAAAAACTGTCTTTGTGTCTAGTTGTTCTGGTGTGCAGTGCTCTATAGTGTCGTTTTGAGGGAAGGAGTTGAAACAGTTTATGTCCAGGATGTGAGGCGTCTGTAAATATTTTCACAGCCCTCTTTTTGACTCGTGCAGTATTCAGGTCCTCGATTGAAGGCAGGTTGGTAGTAATTGTTTTTTCTGCAGTCCTAATTACTCTCTGAAGTCTGTGTCTGTTAATAAAGACTTCATGAACTTCATGCTGATATAGAGTTTATGAACTGCCTGGAATTTTACAAATTCCAGCACTGCTTTTTTGGAATTGACAAAAGATGGACATGTTCTATGGATGGATTCTAGTTGAAGGCCATTCAATCAAAGTTTGTATCCATAAGTTTTTTTAAAAAGTGCCACAGACAAGCAAATTCTTATTTCTAAGCAAGCCCAGTCAAAAAGTTTTCTAACACTGCTCTTCATGGAACACATCACACAATTTTGATGAGCCATGATTGACAAATGTATTCTCAGTAAAGGAGATTTTTTTTTTTCTATTTTTGTCACTTAGCCATTCTATCTGCTGTGTAGGTAGGAGATATAATTCATCACAGTTGAAGGAGCCTGCATGTGTGTGTGATTGGAGGAAGAAGAAAGGATATTCCATCTGCAGATGGAGTCAATCACTTATTTCGCTCTACTAGAGGCTACTTTTTATAGCATCATTCTGGGTCCAAAGTATAACAAAAATGAATGACAAAGCAGATGGTGGAATAGAAGTAAGGACCACTTAATTCCTAACCTGTGGCATTCTTGGGATTGAGGGGGACCTGAATAACATGGGGCTGAATAACATGATGCTGATGTCACCCTTCAGTCATGTCCGACTCTTGGTGATTCTATGAGGCTGGGTCTCTCTATATCTCCCAATCTTGCATGACTTCTTTGATTTGTTCTATGCTGTGGCTGGTGTAAGCTTTGATGGTGTCCGGCCACCATGTTCTTTGGCGTCCTGGTTTCCTTTTACTCTTCCAAACATAATTGTTTTCTCCAATGAATTTTCTCACGTCTTCTTTTAACAACCCCATAATCCCTTGTGGGGTGGAGTCTGGGCAACTTAGTGGAGCTGAGTGTTTACTGGCTGGATGCCCTTCCCGTCACCAGTGCAGAGGGTTGGTTTTTTTCAGCAGATACATTTTCAGTGTGCCAGAAATATCTGCCTCTACCTGGGATCGAACTCAGAACCTCCTGACCATGAGGCGAGAGCTCCATCTCTAAGCCGCCACACTACTCCAATAAATTCCCCTGCATGACATGGCCAAAGTAAGTGAGTTGTGGTTTTGAGATTTTGCCTTCCAGTGACGTATCTGGTATTATGCAGAAGGACTAGACTGGAACAATGGTGTTCTCAGTTGAGAATTCTGCCTTTAGCATTACCCAGGCATCCATTTTGGCCCAGGATCCCTTCCAGACACTGTTCTATTGCTCATTCAAGGCATCCTTTCAGACATCCTAAAGAGGCAGCAAATTCCCAGATCTTTAACTGATGACTACATTTTTACTAGCAGAAAAATTTACCAGCTTTTCTTGCCTATGATAGAAAAACCAGATCAATGTGTGTACTTAATGTTGGACAGTCGTGGTGAGATCCCTTTGCTGTTTCATGTCAAGAAGCAAAAATGTCTTGGGATCATGGGGCATATACAGGTACTTGCATCTATTTATGACCATAATTGAGCTCAAAATATATGTTGTTAAGTGAGACATTTGTTAAGTGAGTTTTTCCCCATTTTATGGCATTTCTTGCCACATTTGTTAAGTGAATTGTTGCAGTTGATAAGTTAGTAAGGCAGTTATTAAGTGAATCTGGCTTCCTTGTTGATTTTACTTGTCAAAAGATTATAAAAGGTGATCACATGACCTTGGGACACAGCAATGGTCATAAGTATGAACCAGTTGCCCAGCATCTGAATTTTGATCACATGACACATCGCTACAAAGGTCATAAGGATGAAAAATAGTCAGAAGTCACTTTTTTCAGTGCCATTGCAACTTTGGTCATGAAATGAACTGTTGTAAGTCAAAGACTACCTACTTCTACAAAACTCTTAGAAAGGCTCTTAATATGGAGAAGGAAGAAAGACCTGGGTTAATGCTGGCCTAGGACAGCTTTAAACAATTCTAGCGTTTCCAAATAGCAAGCAGGTTTTCTGAAGCATTCCTTCCTTTTCCAAAAAGCCGTTTCAAAAAGAGGTGCAGTTGGGTGCGTCCACAGGTGCGGGCAAGTCAGCTGTATTTTTCCATCCAAGAGGGCCAACTTTTTAAGTACGAGATGTTCAGTTCAGTGTCAGTATATGGTACAATATGAGCCAACACCCTTTGTCTATTCTTCAGTAATCTACAAAATGTCTCCTCATTCAAAGAAGGAATTGATTCAAATTCCCCTCCCCAACTGCCTGTTATTTCCTTTTCTTTCTTCTCTCGACTTCCCCTGTTGTACTTTGAGCTTTTTTTTTAGTTTAATATTTCTGGTGATGATTCAACGATGGGAGTCAAAGCTAGACTTGGTGCTGCTTGAAGGCAAGGTGTGGTCCATAGTCTTGGCAGTGACACTAAAGTAAAATCGAGGCATTCCTTAGAAAAGGAAAGACTTCTGTATCACTGGGATTCATCTAGCTTAGGGATTAGAGCTATAAATTAACTCCTCGGTCTAATTTCAAAATCTCTTTATGAGCAGTCAGTTTAGATCGCTGTCCCTTTCCTAACAACCCAGTGGGAATGGAGAAAGAACAGAAGGAAAAAGATGGGAAATGAGTTGGCAGAGGAGATTAACCTGTCATTATTTTGCTTTGGACTCACCAAAATTGACTTTGACTCAACTCATTAGCGTGAGACCCACAACTGATTCTCTTGAAGGAATTTAGCTATTAATAAACCCTCCCCCCCAAAAAAAATGGATTCTGTGTCTGGCTGTGATTTATCTTACACTTTTAATTCAGATTAAAATAAATTGACCTGCTGAACTGACCTCACCTTCAAGATGAGAATTTGCAGTGTTTCTGAAAATATCCACATTATAACATGGGTGCTTTGGTTTAACCAAGGCCACCTCTCGGATATTTCATTCCATTCCTTTCTATAACTGTCCCACGTTCCAATTATGTAATGCAGAAAATGCTTAAAAAGTCTTTCAGAGTGAGGAGAAAAATAGAAAGAGCATGAGAAATAGGTTGAGTGAAAGGTAAGTAAACACAGACTAGGATAATGGTAATGCAAGTGAATTTCAGAATTCTGAAGTCTATCATCTAGCTAGCTAGCTAGCTAGCTAGCTAGCTGTCATCATCATCATCTACCTTAATAATATTGAGTGAAAGAAGCTACTCAGGAGATAATAAAGAACACAATGTTTCCATTTTGCAAATTAAGGTATGCTTAGGACTTTATGTGTTGACTACAAAGCTTAAGGCCTCCTCTAAGCTGCCTGGCACAGCACCCAGCTTACATTAGGATGAAAAGCCAACACATTTTTAATGCTCCTAAAAGACCCAGGCACTACACAGTTGATATAAAAGGTACTGCCTACCGGCATATTAATCTATTATAAAGAGCAAAAGAAGTTGGAAAGAAGGACAGGGAGACAATGACTAGAAAATGAGATCACAAATCTAGCTTAGAAACTTTCAAGTCTGAGCAAAGTGAAATTCATAAACTAACTAATCTTATGACTGTAAATGGGGAAGAAGGAAATGCATAGGAGTGATAATCTTAAGGATGTCCATGCTCTTTCTGAATTCATATACCTACTTTTGGAATCAAGTCCTGTGATGTGGGAGTTAATTCATAAATAGTGACCTACAATTTCTCAAAGCAGAAATGCCAGTTAGGTTACACAGTAAGGTGGGACAAAGAAGAGATGGTTATTGAAATGGGTTCAAGAGGGGACTGTGCTGTTATATTGACAGAGGGCAATAAACAGCTTACAGTGACTTCAGCCTAATATTCCTCTAGTTGAGTATCTGGTAGCTTCTGTTGAGTTGTGTAGTCTGACTAAGTTCTAGACAATGATGATTCTTTTTCCATCGTGTCCTTTTGGGCATCACAACCAAGCATTCCAAATTAGAAATATATTT